TCCGATGCATCTCCAGATCCCACGACTTGATCTGTCAATGACACTGCAAAACGTCTTGGCTGTGGCAGGAGGTGGTGAAAAAATATACTTCCTGTCACCTCAGGTCGCTGCTTAGCTGTGCCCTGGATTACATATCCATTTGTATTCAGGGTATACGTCCTCCAAAGGCCAGATTTATAGGCCGATTACATCATAGCGCAGTGTAGGTACCAGACTTGCTCGGGTGGTCAGATCTGCTCAGGTCCTGAGCATGCCAGTGACGTTACGCTACATGATTGGCTGAACCTTTCCACTTGATGTAAAACATTATGGTTGCCCAGACAACGGTAATACAATCATGCAGCGTCATAGTGCCTAACCGGGAGCTTCTGTCGTGTTAGCATGTCTAACGACCGATGAAGTTTTACATGATCGATAAAATACACATATATATATAGATATATATATCTATATATATATGTTTATGGTGAACAAAGTAACTGTCAGACCATGATATAGAGGGGGAGATTGTCATGGTTTTATCTAAAGCTCGGACCCACATTCAGAGAAACCAATTCAGAGAGACCAAGGGAAAGGTTTAACAGGTTTTATTGAAGAAGTAAAACAGAGGGAGAAGTGTTGCTCTGAACACTATAAAGTGAGGGGAAGACACAGCGGTTAGTTCAGGCTCAGTGGGGATTTTGACTCGTGAACTTGGAGTAGAGGATTTGGTTGCCGACTCGCGTTTCTAGAGAAGTTGTTGAATCTTTGACTCCTGCCTGTGTTCCGTGGTTCCAGTGTTTGTCTGATTCAGTGGAGGGCGGAAAAGGGTTTACCCAGAAAGCGGTTGTTAGTAGGTGAACGGAGAAACTGACTGCCACTCAGATTTCCTGCGGTACTTGAACGGGTCGTAGTGGAGAATAATCCCTTTCTCGGTGAGAAGCTCAAACGATCTCTTGGGGAAAGTGGATACAAACCTCCTGTTTGAACCCCAGCTCAGTTTGAAGCTCAGTTGATCCTTCCAGGGAGAGAAGGTCCGAACAAATCCAATTTGCAGGATGACTTCATGCCAAGAGGCAAAGACAAAAAAAACAAAGTTAAATTCAGGTTGACAAAAACTCAGTTTGACGTAGCAAAACTCCGCTTGGCTAGAGTACCCAAAACTGGCAAACACTGTGGCGTTGAGGTAGTGGCAGTCAGCAGCTTAAGAGCGCTCCATCTAACGAGGAAACCAACAGCAGGCGTGTGAGGAGGCGGACCAGCACCAGGCGCCTCCTGGTGGATAAAGGGAGACAAACACAGACACACAAACACAAAGACAGGAGTCCTGACAGAGAGCTGGGTAGCGCTGTGGCTAGCTGTGTTTAGTAGCTAACAGGCTATATTAAGCTACACTACTTTTAACTTTGTGTCAACAACAATGGTTTTTTTTTTTCTACAAGTAAAATAACTGTTTCATATGTCCAAAATCTCTACAAAAGTCATTTTTGAGATGTTAAATTTGTCTTTTCTGTCCTCAGATCTCAATAAAAAGAATAAAAATAAGCTGAGACTTTTTTTTTGGTCATCTTCTTAAATGGCAGAGCTCAGTCTTAGAATGCAGCACTTTCTTCCAAGACTTAGAATGATTGTTTCCTACTTTCGGCTACTTTAGATCACCAATGAAATGTAAAATAATAGAAAAGATAGGTAAGAATATATGGAGACTCCAAAAGGGATTTTATTCTTATGAAACAGATTGCCTGAGTGGAGTTGCCATATGTTAAAGTCATAAGAATGGGCATGGCCCCTGAGCAGATCTGGTACCTACAGCGGCACCGAGGTCTGTTCGGATTCTAAGACTCCTCGTTATGTAGCTGACAAATGCATCCTCCTTCACGCTTTATTAATAATTAAAACTTAATATTTATCTTGCACATCTAAAAAAAATATAGAAGTTTGTTTAGAAATATTTTAAATATTAATTTTAAATGAAATTCCAAAAAAAGAAATTACTTCTTTTTTTTTTTGTCTTAATCAGGGTCATTAGGTGGGTGGGGTGGCGCCCTAGCGCCCTCTATTGGCCAGCCGCCACTGAATGTATGAATTGAACTGGAAAGGGTTTATATTTATTCAAGCTTTTCATCTTTAAAAACAGACTCCCATGAAATGATTTCCCTTTTCTTGTTAGCCTTTATCAATTAATGTTAATTTTACTTCGTAAAGCACATTGATGTTTAATGCACATAAGGTATAATGCTAGGGTGACCAAACGTTCGTATTTCCCGGGACATATCCGTATTTCCCGGGCGTCCCGGGTTTTTTTTAGAAAGTGAGGAAATGTCATGATGCTGCGTGTGACGTAATCCCTGAGCCGCGTCAGTGCTTAATCAGAATATAGATTGCGTGGCTGTCAGTACGTCAACAACATGAAAAAGCGCAAATGTATGTTTACCGACGATTTACAAAAGAGTTTCCCCGCTTTCAGACCGGGTCGAGACAAATGGGAGGCCTTGTGCACATATGTCTCGGTGTCCAATGGAGGTGCAAGGGATCTGAAAAGCCACCTGGACTAAAGTAAAGATAGTCTAATGATATGTTTGTTCGTTTTTGGTACATTTTGAATAATTTTTGCTACACAAGAGGTATTTTTTGTTAATTAGCTAATTTGTTAATTTATTTTTACCAATAGCCTACAGAACAGACATTATTTTGTTCATTACTAAGGCTGAGTATCATCTGTTATTGGGAGTTGAGAGTTATTGTTAACTTTTATTGTTAAGTGAGGGATGTTTAGATGAGACATTATTTCTTTCATTGTGCATTGTGGTTTTCCGAAAATGAAAATATGGTCACCCTAATAATGCACCATTGCTTTTTTAAAATCTTTTATCTAAAGCACTCATATACCAAGTGTTGGATGGGATGATATGGCCCTGTATGTCTATCTGACCATGTATGACATTCTGACAGAACAGCGGCCTTTAATGAGGCACACCTGCAGCTGGTTGACGGTCATCAGGAACAGCATTTAGGGAGGAGTGAGGACTGATTGTAACACTAAGTGATAATGCAAGCCTCTGAACCCCAGCCTGTTTTTGCTCTGTCTTCATAATGTTCCTCTGTTTTATCGCTCTAAAGATTCTCTGTTCCAAGTGGATCCTGCTGGTTATCTATGTCCAGAATCTCTCAGAAAAATGCCCATTGTGTGGATCCAGTTTGTAAATGGCAGCAGGGTCCTCCACTCCTGACCGAAACATTTCCACGCTTCACCTTGCTTGTTTCAGACTTACTGTGCCAGACAAAAGCCACAAACCCACCAGGTTTCTGAACAAGTCTCCTTCCTGGAAACCATTTCTAGGTTTCTCACCACCACCTAGTGGAGGACAGGCATATGCACCAAGATACTTCTACTGTTCTGTGAAAACGAACTTCAACTTTTAACACTTTCTAGGGAGTTTTCTGAATGTGGGACAAACACTCTGATAAGAAAATCATGACAATCACAAGCACTACATTCCATGTTAACTCCCGTAAACACAGAGCATTCTCGCTTGTGACATCATTGCGTCCTCTACTGCACATGCAGGACATCTAAGCTGTATGAATGCAGTTCACACAGGAGATTACAAAACACACAAGGATCGGTTTTGACAAAAAAATAAATAAAACAAAAAATGGGAACTGAGCATGAAGGCCTGCAGTTTGAACATAGTCTAAATGCTGTGCAGTTACAAGACGGAGCTTGTAGTATCAACAAGATTTACAACAATTGTAGTGCTCAGGAATTTAAGTAAGAAATGTATTAATTTGTGGTTTTACTCCCCATTGAATACACATACTTGAGTTGATGGATTGCATAAAGATAGAGCATCCTTCCATGATTAAAAACAATACAATCATCTGTTTGTTAAGGTTTATTAATGCAAATATGTATGTATCATTGTTGAACAAACCTGGGCAGGGTGTTTCCTGTGTCTCTTCCCATACCACTGTAAATAGCTGCTGGTGTCAAATTGACTATATATATATATATATATATATATATATATATATATATATATATATATATATCAAGATATTAATTTCATTCCAAGAGTTACACATCTTTACAGTAGTAATGACGCATCCATACAATATTTTTTATCTAGATTAATTACACTGTAATCTTGGAATTAATCTAGATTGATTTAGATTAAAATGGCTTTTTAGAATTCTGCCAAAGGTTAACAGGTTACCATAGAAACAGGACCCGGTGCTCATCATTCAAAGACTGGCTTAACAACAATATTCAACAAATTTACCAAGAAATAAAATATGTACCTGTACTAAAAAGCAAAACACAAAATAAGCAGGACTCAGGTCTCGGTGTACACTCCACCTATCACCGCCAGCTACCAGTAGGGGGTGCTGTTTCCTATCATTAGACCTGAACCCAATAGACGGATGACAATTGGAATCCTCTGCATATTAAACACTGTTACATAAGTACAAAGAAGATATAAGAATAAAATAAAATAAGATAAGGGTAAAAATAAAATAAGGGTAAGATTAAAAGTAAGATTATAAGTAAAAGTAAGTCTTTGAAAAGGTTTCTCATGCCAGGAGTCGAGTTAGACCAGGGGCTCATCTACTGTTTCCAAAATTCATCACAAACTGCTTGAGAAAGGTTTTCTACTATGATAACTTATGATGAAAATAAATAATATTCAATAAAATGTGTTGGTGTTTAATAAGTGTTTATCAATAAACATGAATGCAGAATTGTAGGTGTAACTCCTCTCAAAGCACGACGACAAGACGTAGGTTTTCTTTAACGGGTTTATTCCTCCAGGCAATCTTGTAAAGCCTCCCAAAAACCTTGAAAACTAAATAAACACAATACACAATATCAGAATGAAGTTAGCTAAAACGCTAACATGAACCAAACCTTACAGAAATGAATAAAATAAATTACAAACAAACAAACCTCGTTGGCTGCGTGCGTGAACAGAGAGAAATTAAGTCCTTGGTGACTTGAGTCCTTGGGGTCATCTGTCCTGAGTTGAGTGTAAATGTTCGTATTTAAAACTTTAATGACAGCTGATCTTCTGTTGCCGATTCCTTGGTGGGCTAATGTCTCTCTGAAGTTTAACTGGCAACTGTTAGTCGTTACTAGGGTGTTGTGGCAACAGTTAACTGGCAACGTTAGTCGTTACTAGGGTGATCGTGAACACGGTAAGTATATAAGCAATAACCAAATAAAAATAATTATAAAAATAACAAACCCTTTAGATGAAACACTTAAAAAATGCTTGCAACTGTTACACTCCCACCAAATCACATCATACTTAACGTGGGATTTCTCTAAATTTAGAACAAAACTGTTGCGAGTCAAATGTTAACCTTGAACCATAAATTGAAACATACATTCTACTCTGCCTCAAGTAATGTGATAACCTTCTGTATGGGTCTGTCAAGCAAAACTGTCTTAACTTTAGGTTTACCCTGTGTAGCATGTGTTGTGTCACCAACTCGTAATGTGACCTTTCTCACCCTGCCGTCTGATGATGGGAAGACTTTGTGGACTCTGGCCAGCTTCCACTCACAGCGGGGGGCTTCATCATCCTGTAGGAGCACGATGTCATTCACCATCAGATTTCTTCTACTCTTCTGCCATTTCTGTCTTTGTTGTAAACTCAGTAAGTATTCCTTTCTCGCGTCAGTTGTCATGTCGTCAAGCATTTCCACGTGAATGGCTCGTGAGCACAGACAGGTAAGTAGTAGACCATATTTCTTCATCTCCTTTAGGGCTGCAACTAACGATTATTTTAAAAATCGATGAATCGGACGATTATTTTTTCGATTAATCGATGAATCGGACAAAAAATATTTTTTATATTAACCTCTTTATTCCAAAATAAACATTTTAGACAGAACAAACAAGCACACAAGTACAGGTTGCTCTTTAACTGTACTGGTGCAATATGAAAAATAAATGTTTGTGTTAAAACTATGCAAACTTACATGAGAAATGTAGCTGTACATCCACAAAATATAGGGTACTTTGTTTCATAAAGCGCAAAAAAAGACATTTTTGTTTTTAAAAGCCCCTAAGGGGTTCAAACAATAGGCCCCCCCATTTCAACAAATTAGTTTTTTTAGACTAGAAGAGTTCTGCCTTTTAAGACAGGAAAGTATAGCAGTTAAAGTTGCTGCTTGAGAAAATACTGAACCATAGAGATAAAAATAGCCCTGTGATTCAAATTATAAATTGTATTTGGAATAAAAATGAGAGAACTAGGGGTGCTAAAAAACACATCCTCCAAAGACAGATATTTACATGGGAATGTGGCAGATAATTAATTGACATATTACTGATCTTGCTGGATTTTATTCTGCTTTACTTCCATAAATTGCAGGATCTTCTTTACTTTAACTTTGCCAGAAGATTTAAACTTTAAAAGCCTTGCCCTCATAATTTGCAAGTTAATTTATTTATAAAGAAAATATAAACGCTGCTTAAGCTAATTCAAATGAAATTAAAGGTAAAATAAGTAGCCAACCTTATCCCTGTCTGTAACCTAACAAGGTAAGGAAAGCATCAGATGAGCTACCTGAGAAACTAACGTTACGTTTCCCCACTTTAAAACCAAACAAACATGGTGGTTCCGTGCCATGTTAATTTCTTTTGAAAAAAGTTGCATGTTATCACTTTTTTCGCTTTACAAAGCGCAGGCTATTTTAATTATTGTGATCAATTTGCGCCATCAATCCCGGTGCATGCGCGCTTCATTTGCAGTCTGGACGCTGAGGCTGACTGCAGCGCTGAGAGGGAGTCCTGCGGGAAAACGCGGTTGGGGTGGGGGAGGCGCCCCACGGCAGAGTAGGAACGATACATGCTTTCACGTAAGAGTCTCCAAAAGCCGCCAGTGACACCGAAAAAAGTCGCCAGATTTGTCGCTAGAACGCTTTTTTGAAAAATAGTCGCTGGAGGGGTCTGAAAAGTCGCTGAGTTGGCAACACTGCACCTGCGGCGCTGACTCGCTCTGCCTTTTTTTTTTTTCTTCCTCTTTCAGTCAAGAGGCAGTGATGACGGCGCGGCGGATGACGCAATAATCGCGCGACACAACTAATCGATGATGAAATTCGTTGCCAACGCTTTTAAAAGTCGATTTTTATCGATTTTATCGATTCGTTGTTGCAGCCCTAATCTCCTTTCTTCCTTCTTTTACGTGGAAAGGTCCAAAGCAGTCTACGCCGGTGTAGGTGAATGGAGGAGCCGTTTCCATTCGATCTAAAGGCAAGTCGCTCATTTTTTGTTCTTCTGGTTGTCTTCTGTATTTCCGACACTTGACACACTTGTAAATGTGAGACGACACTGCACTGCTGCTTCCCAAGATCCACCATCCATTGGCTCGCAGTTCGTTCGAGGTCATTCCGCGTCCTTGATGATGAACACGCTCATGGAAATGTTTGATCAGCAGGCTGGCCATGTGAGTGTTACTTGGGATAATGACTGGGTGCCTTACGTGTGGGTGTAGCGCAGCTTGACTTAAGCGCCCGCCCACTCTCAGGACTCCATCCTCATCCAAAATCGGATTCAATTTGAAGAGTTTGTTGTGTTTTGTCTTCGTTAGATCTCCTTTTCCTTTCAGATCCTTGATTTCAACTGAGAGTGCTTCTTCTTGAACCAATTTGACGATGGTAAGTTCTGCTTCCTTTCTTTCTTCTAAGCTTGTACTCTCATTGGTTCTTTCTTTCACACCTTTGTGTTCTTTAATCAGTCTCTTCAGTCTGGCAACTGCTTGTACTGCCCTTGACCAGTCAGAGAACTTCTCCAGGCGGCTCAACAATGACCTGTCTTCCTTTGCCTTTGTGTTCAGCACTGTAGCCTTGCGAAGTTCAGGATCATCTTCTTTAAGTTCTCCCACCTTGCTTTCTCTGTGCGGTAGTTCTTCAGTCTTCAGGTTGACGGGAGAATTGATCTCTGGTGACACTCGCATGGTGACTATGCGATGACTGATGCCGACTGCGTCTTCGAACTCCACAGAGGGATTCCCATGGCCTACGATACTCCACCCCAGGTCAGTGCGTTGCGCGAAAGGCTGATTGGCTTGACCAGACACGACTTCTCTTGGGAGTAAGGCTTGAGAGCAGTTGTAGCCAATGAGCAGACCGACTTCACAACTTTGCAGAGGTGCGATGTGTTCTCTCAGGTGCTCTAAGTGGGACCAAGCCTCGGCAGTTTCTTTGGTGGGGATGTGGGTTCTGTTGGCTGGAATGACGTCACGTGTGTAGGATGGTGGTAAGTTGATTCTTTTGTCCAAGTGGAAGCCTCGAACCTGCAGGTTCTTCACTCTTTGAGATTGTATGACAGTGGTTGAAGTCATAGTTGAGAGCTTTAACTTGACCTGGTCTTTCTCTGCACCCAGAGCCGCTGCAACTTCACTCAGTACAAACGTTGTGTCACTCTGTGAGTCTAACAGAGCGTAAACGAGCACCTCTTCTGTTGGTTGAGTAGCAGATGAGAGCCAGACAGGAACTATTGCGGCTGTTTGCAAACCAGGTTCATGTTGGATAACTCTGTGTGTTGAGGCTGTGACGGTGCCTTTATCCTGCTCAGCTTGAGTCCTTTCCTTGTTTTGGTTGCTTGACTTGTATTGACTGTGTTGGGCTTGTGGTGTCTTTTGCTCTCCGTTGTCTCTTTCTTCATGCAGACAAGTAGGGTGACGCTTCTTGCAAGCATCACAGACACTCCTATTGCTGCAAGCTTTAGAGTGGTGGCCCGGTTCAAGACAACCGAAACACAGCCTCTCACTTTGGATAAACTTGACTCTGTCTGAGACTTCTTCCTCCAAGAACTTCCTGCATACATGCAAGGTGTGGCCGATTTTCTTGCAGAACAGGCATGTTTTAGGGGCTTGCTCGTTGGAACTTGTGATTAGAGTCTTTGCTTCAAAATTTAGCTGCTTCTGCTTGTTGCTTGCTGGCTGCCTTGCCCTTTCAGCCTCATCTTGCTTAAGTGAATGCAGCGATGTAACTGGGTTACAGGCGATCTTTGCTTCTCTTGAGAGGAACTTGACAAACTGACTGAAGCTTGGGAACTCGCCGTTCTCTTCTTCCATGTCAACGACTTTCCGATTCCATCTAGCTGTTAGCCAGTCAGGTAACTTTGCAAGAAGCTTCCTGTTTTCATTGCAGTCATTCAGGATCTCCAGTTCCTTGATGTGCAGCATGGCGGCTTCACAACTGCGAAGAAAGTCTGCAAAGTCTCTGAGCTCAGTGTTGTCTTTGGCTCCAATCCTGGGCCATGTGTGAAGCTTATCCCTGTATGCTTTTGCGATGGTAAATGGGCTCCCATATCTCTCTTCCAACAGCTTCCATGCAGCAGTGTAGGCTGACTCTGTTCCTAGAAGGAAGTAACCGTCGAGTGCATTCTTGGCTTGTCCGCTCACGTACCTGCGAAGGTAGTATATCTTCTCCTTCTCCCTGATGTTTTTCTCGTCTATCAACGTTTGGAATGACAACTTCCAGTCGCTGTACTTTAACGGATCACCCATGAATATTGCAGGTTCTGGAATAGGTATACGACTCGCACTCATCGCATCAGAAAGCATTTTAATGAGCTCTAATGAAGTTGAATCAGCTGGCGTAGCTGTTGGTTGAGAAGCTTGGACGATAGAAGCTTGAGGTGTAGATGTCAGAGGACCTCTTTCAGGAAGTGATGGCTTACGATCTGCTGCCAGATTATCTTGTGACACCTCATGGATATTTAGTCCTTGGTTGTACACTTCACACTTTGCTCGTGCGGCATTGAAGTCTTTGACTGTTTCTAAATGTTTGATCTTCAAACGCTTTTCTTCGAGTTTGGCTTTGATTTCAGCTGCCTCTTCTTCTCTTTTAATTCTCCACTGAATTTCTTCTTGTTCTTTCTGTTGGCGTCGCTTCATGTCTGCTATCTCTTGGGCTGCTATCTTCCTCTTAGCTTCTGCCTCCAGATGCTGCAATTCCAATTGTTCTCTTTGTTGTTCTTCCAAGACTTGCAGAACAGCTTGGCTTGCTGCGGCCTCCGCGACAGCTTCTTGGTGCTTTATGGAAGATGCTTTTGAGCGCCCTGAGGGACTCTTCAGAAAGGAAGTGACAGATTCCAATTCACTTAAAGTGGAGTTCCAAAGAGAACCAGCTTCCGGCCAATCTGGCTCATCTTCATGTGGGTGCTTCCCATCCAGGTAAGCTGTGACTTTGGCAACAATGAAATCTGAAACTTGTGTGCAGATATCTACTTGTCGTCTTGTGTCTTGGTCTGGAGTTGAGACTCTGCGCAGATCTTCATAGACACGGTGGACGTCTCCTGAAAGGCCCTTGACATCATGAAGGATATCTTGCAGTAGACACTCTGAAAACGCTTCTGTTGTATGTGACAGTGCCTTCTTGGAGAGTTTTACATTTGTTCGCCATTTATTGTAAGAGTAATTGAATCTTAGTTTGACTGTTTTCATTTTCTCCTCTTGCATTGCTTTTCCCTTCTCTGTCAGGGTACGGGTACGCTCGCTGTGTCATTGCGGCTGTGGTTCTTGAAAGTTGCTTACATCATCTTTTGGAAGATGTTCAAGGACTTCACTTCCATCATCAACTTGCCCTACCTGAAGTGTTGACTCACTATACTGTGACATCGCTAAGCTGTACTAAATGTAAACTCAAATAAATAAATATAGAATGTAAATATAGAATGTGTGAATGCTAACTGTAATGCTAACTTATGTGAAAGTAAATAAAGCCTGCATTAAGTGGAACCATCTACTCTAATGTGTCTAGTGCCTTTAAACTGAAATGAAATAAATATGTACTGAAATACTTAAATGGTTCAAAATACTATTCACTGTGCTTATGACTAATAATGCACTAAAATGGCTCAAAATTCACAAGAAACCCAAAACATAGCATTAGCTTAAAACATAAGAAGGAAAATAAGCATCAATGTCAAATACCAAAAAATACCAAAAATACACTTTAAAGTGGCAGATAAAATACTTTCCAACTTAAAACAGAAGCATTTAACTGAAAGATGTAAATATTTAACCTTCCTTAAATGATGAGCTTCAGTAACCTTTAGATGAAAGACTCAAATGTAGAACATTGCATTACCACACAAATAGCTTTACAGCACAACACACCATGGAACCAGCGTCACTTAGCTCAACCTTTAAATAAATCCTAGAAAAGACGTTTCTTGCTAATGCCCTTAGTCACTCTTGTCAGTGTCCTTCTTTGTGGCTTCGCTTTTAAACAGTCTTTGATTCAGTTCGTATCCGCTTTTCCAGTTTAATCAAGTGGTTGTGTGTGCATTCCACTTATCTGCGTATCCTTCCTTGCTACGAGAGCCGCAGTGCTCATGCCCAAAAGCCGGGCGCGTTGACCGACGATGAGCTTGACAACGGTTGCTAGGCACACTGGATACGAGCTGGCTTCGTGATCTTGCTTCGGTTGGGATGGCTTCACCTCCGACGTGATGAACAGTCCCGAGTTTTCACTGTAACTCCTCTCAAAGCACGACGACAAGACGTAGGTTTTCTTTAACGGGTTTATTCCTCCAGGCAATCTTGTAAAGCCTCCCAAAAACCTTGAAAACTAAATAAACACAATACACAATATCAGAATGAAGTTAGCTAAAACGCTAACATGAACCAAACCTTACAGAAATGAATAAAATAAATTACAAACAATAAAACCTCGTTGGCTGCGTGCGTGAACAGAGAGAAATTAAGTCCTTGGTGACTTGAGTCCTTGTGGTCATCTGTCCTGAGTTGAGTGTAAATGTGGCAGAGGCCTGGATAGTATCAGAGCCACCATTGAAGATAACTCATCCAAGTTTCAAGAATATATCAGTAAGATTGCCTCAAAGGATGCGGAGTATATATATACATCTATCTATCTATCTATCTATCTATCTATCTATCTATCTATCTATCTATCTATCTATCTATCTATCTATCTATCTATCTATCTATCTATCTATCTATCTATCTATCTATCTATCTATCTATCTATCTATATATATATATATATACATATATATATATATATATATATATATATATATATATATATACACCCCATAAATACAAGTACATAATGTTAACTCAAAGTTGGTTTTCAAACTTGTTATTTTTTATGTTTTTGTATTATATCTTGTTATGGTAATTTGCATTTTTGCTACCAGGTCAAACTTTTACATTCCTCACTTTTATAACTCCCATTATTGAATTGGGAGGCTGAACTTCAGATACAGGAAAAAAGGCTGACAAAGGATGTATTTTCTAAACTCTCTAAAGAACTTTGTCATACAAAACAGCACCAAAAGCAAGTAAAGGCCCTTATACCTCAATGCTGGGTCACGGATTTAAACAATTAATCTGAATCTGTAGGACAGATGTGCAGATAGATCTATGGTTCTGAGGCTTAAGCCCTGGATGTTTTCTGAATAGTGCCTTGTTCTCACTAAAGAAGAAATTTGAAGTTGTGGCATAGGGCCAGGGGAGGATGGTGAGAGAGATCCTCATCTGTCACCATGACAAATAATTTCTAAGATTCAAAGATAAGAGATAAACATAAATTTATCCACGTGACTGTTATATAAAGTTGTTTTCTGTGTATATTTAACTTACTGTTGAAACATCAATACATATAGACAATACAAAGAATTGAACATGTCCAAGGCCCCTCTGTGGGTGTTTCTAGTCTCCAAGGGTGTCCCCACCTTCTGTAGGTGCAACAGCACTGTGTTTTCTTGTCTCTTCTTTGGTCTCCAGTGCCACCTCTTCCTTGGTTGTCAGCAGCGTCTCTTTGTGGGTCCTCAGGACCGCCTATCTGTGGGTCTGCCATTTGAGATCCTAGCTCCGCCTCACCCTTGATTGCATTAACTCATTGTCTCGAATGCAATCCCTCACACTAAACATGCTTTTAGCGAGAGTGAAGAGGAAAAGCTCCCTTTTAACAGGAAGAAACCTCCAGCAGAACCAGGCTCAGTGTGAGCGGCCATCTGCTGAGGCCGACTGGGGTTCAAGGAGACAGAAGCAGAGATATAAAAAGCAGCTGTAAAAGGCGGCCCCGTCCAGGAAACACACAGCCAGGCAGACGAGCTCCAAGACCACTCCTATGTCACAGGATGATAAGAGCACATCCAGTCAGTCAGAGAAAAAGGACTACACTGAAAAACAGGCAGATCTCCCAATATCTACAGTGGGCACTGGTTGGAAATGGACGGTTTCCTGCGTGATTCCTGTGTGATTCCCACGTGAATCACGTAGTATTTCCTGAGGCCAGTTTTTTTATTTCAAAAAGAACTGCAATGTACCCGGACAACCACCAGGTGGCGCTTGGGATCTCTGCCGTGCTGAGGGTGACGTTTGTGGGCCTGCAGTCAACTGAAAAGCAGGTTTATTGGGGATCTTGGTGTGATACTGTGCTATTTTATTTTGTTTTTGATTAAAATAAAGTTAATGAATTAATTTAACATAAGATTATGCAGTCAAGTGACTGCATAATCTTATTTTATGAAAATGGTTGCGTAGTTATAGATACACCTCCGATCTTATCCGAGAACTGTTATTTCTATTTATCTGCATCGCTATTATTTAATGAAAAATAAAATTAATTAAGTTGGAGCCGGGGATACGGACTGTAGCGCAACCAGAGACTGCGGTAAAGCTAGCCGCCTCTTCGAAAATAACAGTAAAGCCAGCCCGCTCTCGATTTTCACATGCGCGACAGCTCAAGACATTATGGTACCGCCATTTACGTGCTGCTTTCACAATAAAAGCGTGCATCCGGTCCATGTTTAATCTACTGGAAATAGATTTACAACGGCTTCGAGTTTTACATGCTGCTTTCACAATAAAAGCGCGCATCCGGTCCATGTTTAATCTACTGGAAATAGATTTACAACGGCTTCGAATTTTAGACTTTGTATTTATGCTGAAAGACTCTGTTGATCTGATGTGTCATTTCAAAATAAAACACAATTAAAAAAGCACTTTTTGACTTTCTTAACCTAAGTTGCCGTGCCCATTGCTGGAAAACTCTCTGTTTCCAATGACTTCCAGCACATCTGGTTGACAGAGGGACACCTCTAGAACACAACCACAAACTGTCAACAACATCTGATGTGTCATTTCAAAATAAAACACAATTAAAAAAGCACTTTTTGACTTTTTTAACCTAAGTTGCCGTGCCCATTGCTGGAAAACTCTCTGTTTCCAATGACTTCCAGCACATCTGGTTGACAGAGGGACACCTCTAGAACACAACCACAAACTGTCAACAACATCTGATGTGTCATTTCAAAATAAAACACAATTAAAAAAGCACTTTTTGACTTTTTTAACCTAAGTTGCCGTGCCCATTGCTGGAAAACTCTCTGTTTCCAATGACTTCCAGCACATCTGGTTGACAGAGGGACACCTCTAGAACACAACCACAAACTGTCAACAACATCTGATGTGTCATTTCAAAATAAAACACAATTAAAAAAGCACTTTTTGACTTTCTTAACCTAAGTTGCCGTGCCCATTGCTGGAAAACTCTCTGTTTCCAATGACTTCCAGCACATCTGGTTGACAGAGGGACACCTCTAGAACACAACCACAAACTGTCAACAACATCTGATGTGTCATTTCAAAATAAAACACAATTAAAAAAGCACTTTTTGACTTTTTTAACCTAAGTTGCCGTGCCCATTGCTGGAAAACTCTCTGTTTCCAATGACTTCCAGCACATCTGGTTGACAGAGGGACACCTCTAGAACACAACCACAAACTGTCAACAACATCTGATGTGTCATTTCAAAATAAAACACAATTAAAAAAGCACTTTTTGACTTTCTTAACCTAAGTTGCCGTGCCCATTGCTGGAAAACTCTCTGTTTCCAATGACTTCCAGCACATCTGGTTGACAGAGGGACACCTCTAGAACACAACCACAAACTGTCAACAACATCTGATGTGTCATTTCAAAATAAAACACAATTAAAAAAGCACTTTTTGACTTTCTTAACCTAAGTTGCCGTGCCCATTGCTGGAAAACTCTCTGTTTCCAATGACTTCCAGCACATCTGGTTGACAGAGGGACACCTCTAGAACACAACCACAAACTGTCAACAACATCTGATGTGTCATTTCAAAATAAAACACAATTAAAAAAGCACTTTTTGACTTTTTTAACCTAAGTTGCCGTGCCCATTGCTGGAAAACTCTCTGTTTCCAATGACTTCCAGCACATCTGGTTGACAGAGGGACACCTCTAGAACACAACCACAAACTGTCAACAACATCTGATGTGTCATTTCAAAATAAAACACAATTAAAAAAGCACTTTTTGACTTTCTTAACCTAAGTTGCCGTGCCCATTGCTGGAAAACTCTCTGTTTCCAATGACTTCCAGCACATCTGGTTGACAGAGGGACACCTCTAGAACACAACCACAAACTGTCAACAACATCTGATGTGTCATTTCAAAATAAAACACAATTAAAAAAGCACTTTTTGACTTTCTTAACCTAAGTTGCCGTGCCCATTGCTGGAAAACTCTCTGTTTCCAATGACTTCCAGCACATCTGGTTGACAGAGGGACACCTCTAGAACACAACCACAAACTGTCAACAACATCTGATGTGTCATTTCAAAATAAAACACAATTAAAAAAGCACTTTTTGACTTTCTTAACCTAAGTTGCCGTGCCCATTGCTGGAAAACTCTCTGTTTCCAATGACTTCCAGCACATCTGGTTGACAGAGGGACACCTCTAGAACACAACCACAAACTGTCAACAACATCTGATGTGTCATTTCAAAATAAAACACAATTAAAAAAGCACTTTTTGACTTTTTTAACCTAAGTTGCCGTGCCCATTGCTGGAAAACTCTCTGTTTCCAATGACTTCCAGCACATCTGGTTGACAGAGGGACACCTCTAGAACACAACCACAAACTGTCAACAACATCTGATGTGTCATTTCAAAATAAAACACAATTAAAAAAGCACTTTTTGACTTTCTTAACCTAAGTTGCCGTGCCCATTGCTGGAAAACTCTCTGTTTCCAATGACTTCCAGCACATCTGGTTGACAGAGGGACACCTCTAGAACACAACCACAAACTGTCAACAACATCTGATGTGTCATTTCAAAATAAAACACAATTAAAAAAGCACTTTTTGACTTTCTTAACCTAAGTTGCCGTGCCCATTGCTGGAAAACTCTCTGTTTCCAATGACTTCCAGCACATCTGGTTGACAGAGGGACACCTCTAGAACACAACCACAAACTGTCAACAACATCTGATGTGTCATTTCAAAATAAAACACAATTAAAAAAGCACTTTTTGACTTTTTTAACCTAAGTTGCCGTGCCCATTGCTGGAAAACTCTCTGTTTCCAATGACTTCCAGCACATCTGGTTGACAGAGGGACACCTCTAGAACACAACCACAAACTGTCAACAACATCTGATGTGTCATTTCAAAATAAAACACAATTAAAAAAGCACTTTTTGACTTTTTTAACCTAAGTTGCCGTGCCCATTGCTGGAAAACTCTCTGTTTCCAATGACTTCCAGCACATCTGGTTGACAGAGGGACACCTCTAGAACACAACCACAAACTGTCAACAACATCTGATGTGTCATTTCAAAATAAAACACAATTAAAAAAGCACTTTTTGACTTTCTTAACCTAAGTTGCCGTGCCCATTGCTGGAAAACTCTCTGTTTCCAATGACTTCCAGCACATCTGGTTGACAGAGGGACACCTCTAGAACACAACCACAAACTGTCAACAACATCTGATGTGTCATTTCAAAATAAAACACAATTAAAAAAGCACTTTTTGACTTTCTTAACCTAAGTTGCCGTGCCCATTGCTGGAAAACTCTCTGTTTCCAATGACTTCCAGCACATCTGGTTGACAGAGGGACACCTCTAGAACACAACCACAAACTGTCAACAACATCTGATGTGTCATTTCAAAATAAAACACAATTAAAAAAGCACTTTTTGACTTTTTTAACCTAAGTTGCCGTGCCCATTGCTGGAAAACTCTCTGTTTCCAATGACTTCCAGCACATCTGGTTGACAGAGGGACACCTCTAGAACACAACCACAAACTGTCAACAACATCTGATGTGTCATTTCAAAATAAAACACAATTAAAAAAGCACTTTTTGACTTTTTTAACCTAAGTTGCCGTGCCCATTGCTGGAAAACTCTCTGTTTCCAATGACTTCCAGCACATCTGGTTGACAGAGGGACACCTCTAGAACACAACCACAAACTGTCAACAACATCTGATGTGTCATTTCAAAATAAAACACAATTAAAAAAGCACTTTTTGACTTTCTTAACCTAAGTTGCCGTGCCCATTGCTGGAAAACTCTCTGTTTCCAATGACTTCCAGCACATCTGGTTGACAGAGGGACACCTCTAGAACACAACCACAAACTGTCAACAACATCTGATGTGTCATTTCAAAATAAAACACAATTAAAAAAGCACTTTTTGACTTTCTTAACCTAAGTTGCCGTGCCCATTGCTGGAAAACTCTCTGTTTCCAATGACTTCCAGCACATCTGGTTGACAGAGGGACACCTCTAGAACACAACCACAAACTGTCAACAACATCTGATGTGTCATTTCAAAATAAAACACAATTAAAAAAGCACTTTTTGACTTTCTTAACCTAAGTTGCCGTGCCCATTGCTGGAAAACTCTCTGTTTCCAATGACTTCCAGCACATCTGGTTGACAGAGGGACACCTCTAGAACACAACCACAAACTGTCAACAACATCTGATGTGTCATTTCAAAATAAAACACAATTAAAAAAGCACTTTTTGACTTTCTTAACCTAAGTTGCCGTGCCCATTGCTGGAAAACTCTCTGTTTCCAATGACTTCCAGCACATCTGGTTGACAGAGGGACACCTCTAGAACACAACCACAAACTGTCAACAACATCTGATGTGTCATTTCAAAATAAAACACAATTAAAAAAGCACTTTTTGACTTTCTTAACCTAAGTTGCCGTGCCCATTGCTGGAAAACTCTCTGTTTCCAATGACTTCCAGCACATCTGGTTGACAGAGGGACACCTCTAGAACACAACCACAAACTGTCAACAACATCTGATGTGTCATTTCAAAATAAAACACAATTAAAAAAGCACTTTTTGACTTTCTTAACCTAAGTTGCCGTGCCCATTGCTGGAAAACTCTCTGTTTCCAATGACTTCCAGCACATCTGGTTGACAGAGGGACACCTCTAGAACACAACCACAAACTGTCAACAACATCTGATGTGTCATTTCAAAATAAAACACAATTAAAAAAGCACTTTTTGACTTTCTTAACCTAAGTTGCCGTGCCCATTGCTGGAAAACTCTCTGTTTCCAATGACTTCCAGCACATCTGGTTGACAGAGGGACACCTCTAGAACACAACCACAAACTGTCAACAACATCTGATGTGTCATTTCAAAATAAAACACAATTAAAAAAGCACTTTTTGACTTTCTTAACCTAAGTTGCCGTGCCCATTGCTGGAAAACTCTCTGTTTCCAATGACTTCCAGCACATCTGGTTGACAGAGGGACACCTCTAGAACACAACCACAAACTGTCAACAACATCTGATGTGTCATTTCAAAATAAAACACAATTAAAAAAGCACTTTTTGACTTTCTTAACCTAAGTTGCCGTGCCCATTGCTGGAAAACTCTCTGTTTCCAATGACTTCCAGCACATCTGGTTGACAGAGGGACACCTCTAGAACACAACCACAAACTGTCAACAACATCTGATGTGTCATTTCAAAATAAAACACAATTAAAAAAGCACTTTTTGACTTTTTTAACCTAAGTTGCCGTGCCCATTGCTGGAAAACTCTCTGTTTCCAATGACTTCCAGCACATCTGGTTGACAGAGGGACACCTCTAGAACACAACCACAAACTGTCAACAACATCTGATGTGTCATTTCAAAATAAAACACAATTAAAAAAGCACTTTTTGACTTTTTTAACCTAAGTTGCCGTGCCCATTGCTGGAAAACTCTCTGTTTCCAATGACTTCCAGCACATCTGGTTGACAGAGGGACACCTCTAGAACACAACCACAAACTGTCAACAACATCTGATGTGTCATTTCAAAATAAAACACAATTAAAAAAGCACTTTTTGACTTTTTTAACCTAAGTTGCCGTGCCCATTGCTGGAAAACTCTCTGTTTCCAATGACTTCCAGCACATCTGGTTGACAGAGGGACACCTCTAGAACACAACCACAAACTGTCAACAACATCTGATGTGTCATTTCAAAATAAAACACAATTAAAAAAGCACTTTTTGACTTTTTTAACCTAAGTTGCCGTGCCCATTGCTGGAAAACTCTCTGTTTCCAATGACTTCCAGCACATCTGGTTGACAGAGGGACACCTCTAGAACACAACCACAAACTGTCAACAACATCTGATGTGTCATTTCAAAATAAAACACAATTAAAAAAGCACTTTTCGACTTTCTTAACCTAAGTTGCCGTGCCCATTGCTGGAAAACTCCCTGTTTCCAGTTGTTACAACACAAAGTTATGAAGTTGTTTGATTCTCAGCCCCGTAAATGCAACTCTCATAGCAAGGTAACTGGAAGGTGTCAACGACACGTTGGATTTGCGAAACAGAATAACAGTAAGGCATTGAGTGTTTGAAAATCAATGTAAACCACACTTTATTCAACACACTTTACATATTTACAGTATAGAACATTTATGTTTAAACAACACACCCCAACATTGGTCACCCCAACAATAATCAAAACTTGACCTCTTGGAGACCCTCCACCACCTTCAGCTATCAGCCTGGACAAGAAATGAGAGTGGGATTAAACAAAGCAAATACAAAAAAAAATTACTACAATATGTATAAGTAGTAAAATGAGTTATTCTCATCAAAAAAAACAAATACAATCAAAATAAATAATTATCTTCAGCTGCATATTTTGTATGCATTTGTTCATGTCACCTGCATGTGATTTACAAAAATAGTTGTTGTTCTATGTTACACATATTTATAATAAAAAATAAAAAAAATGAATAAACGTCTTACCACACAACTGACAATTCCATTCCATGTTCCCAGGCACTCCTCATGGAACCACCTTTCACAAGTGTCACACTAAATCTGAAAAAACAAAACAAAAACGTATGCAATAGGATGAAAACAACTTACCTATTATGTCTCTTCTTTTTATTATTATATTACTAAAGCTATGTATAACCCATAGGTGTATGTGAAATACCATCTTGAGAACTCAACACTAGACGGCTATTGAACCAACTTCAATAGAGTAAAACTGTTTTTGAAGAGTTTAATTTCTAATATATGTATTGAAACATCTGTTTCAAGTTTCATATATTCAATGTAAAAAATTAATTTAACTTACATGTGACTGAAAGCAACTGTATTAAAGTCGTTTTGATGTTATGACAAAATCAAAACAAATACGTTGCACATGTTTCTTAAAGTATGTTAAAATCGTCATATACTTTAAATGTTCATGTCGGAAAAGTTACCACACTTTGGTACTCACACTGAGGATGGACACTACTAATAATTGACATAATTTTGCATTGAAAATGCATTTAACCCTTTATGTGTTGCATCTAGTTGTCCTAACACAGGTTTAGTTTAATAAGATTATAAATTCTTACAGTATGAAAGCTATTAAGAAACCATTATGTTAACCTAGTTATCCTTGTATGGTCCAGGTGTGGCCAGTGTCTACTTCTAGCAGTCACTGATCAAGAGGTAATTAATCAATCAATTACATTTTATTTGTATAGCTCCTTTCATCAAAAAGGCATTTCTATGTGCCTTGTTGCTGAAATGTATGACGATGTAAAATTGAATACCGAAAAAAATTGCATTTGTCAAAAATTAAAATTTTGGAAACTATATTGTAATTGTGTCATATCCAACTTTTAACATAAGAAATGTCCAGAAATTAAACACCTGAAATGAAGACTTGTCAACAGAAATGACATTACAACAACACACTGTCTCACCCATTTTGTAATTGGAGGCCCCGCTCCAGGAGGTTTTGCCAATGAACACAGGGAGCAGTTGTTCCCTGTCTCGAAAACTAAAATTAAACACAGTTTATAAAATTGTTAACTGTGAAATAATTGTAAAAACAGTGAAATTTAAAAAAATCTACATATCACACACATACTACATAAAATGTGTCATCATGTCTTCTTACAGTGACTGACGTTAAGACCACACACAAGTTAAATGTAAAATTAATAACAGCAAACTCTGAATTTCAAATGGGCAATGGTTTGAAGTTGGTAATGATGTACATCTGACATAATACAGAAAAATAGGGTGGATCATTTGATATCAACACACACACCAGATGCTGAGAGAATAAGTTCAGCAAACGATCTCCTTTCCTTTGCCATGTCTCTTGTGGAAGTACTAAATGACAGGGTTGGGGGATCAGGAAAAGCCTTCATCACTTCCTTGGCAATCTAAGAAAGCATTGAATACGTTAACTTTCACAATATTCTAAATATTCTCACCATTAACAAACAATATTTAAATGTAATTGTTAACTGACAAAATTTATTTGGAGATTTACATACCATTACCACAATGGACCGTCCTGCGGACAAGGATGGTCCATCACGTCCCCTTTCCATGTCATTTTTAACCAGTCAGCGTGTCCTATTGCTGAATTTCGGACTTTTAGGTATTCACTGCACAAATTTCACAATGTCATTAGTAACAAAAGGACACAATTTTAAATCATTGACAATTTAGTAATACATACGAATAACATATATGACATTCAAAAATACTGAAAATACTGTGTTACATCACAAATGTTCAGACATGACTTTAAAAAATACTACTTTTAAAAATTTAGGCATATAGATATGCTTTAACAACATGTCAAATATAGCAGCATTATGATCTAATTAAAGTAGGTATGCCTTCTTCTTTTTTATAAAAAAAAGAAATACACAGTCAAGATCTATTTTAAAGGGCGATGTAAGCATGCTGCAATTCATAAACATAATATTCACTCAGTTTCACAGCAAAATACTCTTCCTAAGAAATAGTGTGATTTCTTTTTTGATCTTTTTGTCATTTTTTTTTAATTATTTTTTTTGTTAAAATTTAATACTTTTGTTACACATAATAAAACAGTAATATAAAAATAAAAAAAAAACAATTAAAAAAACACTAACACAAACATTTATGACAAAATGTATTAACCTCTGTGTGAAGCAAGTAAGAGGGGAGGCTTGCAGCGCACACAACAATCGCGATCCTATGAGGTGCCCCCAGGGACATAAATCAGAATTAACTTGCATATACACATATTAAATTACACTCTTCCATATAATATACTGAAAACCTCACACAAACACTAGTAAAAAGCTCTCACATAAACTAGTGAAAACATTGACCTCTTATATAATCTACTCAAAAGCTCTCATACAAAGTAGTGAGAACTGTTCATATAAACTGGTGAAAAGCTTTACCTTTCATACACACTACTAGAAAGCTTTCATATACACTATTAAAAAGCTCTCATATACACTACTAGAACGCTCTCATATACACTATTAGAAAGCTCTCATATACACTATTAGAAAGCTCTCATATACACTATTAGAACGCTCTCATATACACTACTAGAACGCTCTCATATACACTATTAGAACGCTCTCATATACACTATTAGAATGCTCTCATAAACACTACTAGAATGCTCTCATATACACTATTAGAACGCTCTCATATACACTATTAGAAAGCTCTCATAAACACTATTAGAACGCTCTCATAAACACTATTAGAACGCTCTCATATACACTATTAGAAAGCTCTCATATACACTACTAGAACGCTCTCATAAACACTATTAGAAAGCTCTCATACACACTACTGAAAAGCTATTAGCGGATTTCAGTTGAAACGGAAGGTGTTTCAGTTGAAACGGAAGGTGTTTCAGTGAAACAGGAAGGACCGTCATTACACCGGAAGTTGTTTTAAACGGAGGGCATTCTGGCTAGCTCCGTACATTTTGTGCTATCTCCGGCCGAAATTGTATCAAATAAAATTATTGATTCATGCTCAGCTATCCGCTAAACAACTCACAGAAGCATGGGCATTACTCGACTTTATTTTTTATGTTTTTGCTTCAACAGAGATCCTTTTCCGGTGTTGTGCGAAATTCTGTTCCCATGTGAAAATCTGTTCCACCTGTGTCGGGAGCGCGCCGCGCATTGCAGCCACATAAGCGGATCTGATCATTTCCCAGGCCTTTCGGATCATTTCTTGGTTAAATAAAAAGTCGTAAAATTATACAAGGTTGAGACATTTAGTTTAATCAGCCGCTGTTGTTTACAAAATTGTAAAATAAAAAAAATAAATGCGGTTTTCTTATGCTGTTTTGTGTTGTTATTTTAAACGCCAAGAGAATCAGTCTCTTTCCAAGTTTTTTCACTTCAGCCTGACAGAAATAAAAGTCAAGTCACCAAATACCAAATTTGTATTTATAATTTTTTATTACTGATATAAGATGATGGGAAGTGCCTGATAGCAGTTCCATAATATAGAAACAAATTAATTTAGCTGCAAATCTTAAACTGTGTTTATTCCTATCTTCATCAACAACAAACCATCTGGATTCGGTGATATTTGAGCAATGTTTGCCTAAATTAAAGGAGGGGGACCATATATTTTAGCTTTCTAATAGTGTGTATGAGAGCGTTCTAATAGTGTATATGAGAGCTTTCTAATAGTGTATATGAGAGCGTTCTAATAGTGTATATGAGAGCTTTCTAGTAGTGTATATGAGAGCTTTCTAGTAGTGTATATGAGAGCTTTCTAATAGTGTATATGAGAGCGTTCTAATAGTGTATATGAGAGCTTTCTAATAGTGTATATGAGAGCTTTCTAATAGTGTATATGAGAGCTTTCTAATAGTGTATATGAGAGCTTTCTAATAGTGTATATGAGAGCTTTCTAATAGTGTATATGAGAGCTTTCTAATAGTGTATATGAGAGCGTTCTAATAGTGTATATGAGAGCTTTCTAATAGTGTATATGAGAGTTTTCTAATATTGTATATGAGAGTGTTCTAATAGTGTATATGAGAGCGTTCTAATAGTGTATATGAGAGCTTTCTAATAGTGTATATGAGAGCTTTCTAATAGTGTATATGAAAGCTTTCTAGTAGTGTGTATGAAAGGTAAAGCTTTTCACCAGTTTATATGAACAGTTCTCACTACTTTGTATGAGAGCTTTTGAGTAGATTATATAAGAGGTCAATGTTTTCACTAGTTTATGTGAGAGCTTTTTACTAGTGTTTGTGTGAGGTTTTCAGTATATTATATGGAAGAGTGTAATTTAATATGTGTATATGCAAGTTAATTCTGATTTATGTCCCTGGGGGCACCTCATACGATCCTCTATCCATACATAAAGACTTACTGTTGGGATCTGGAGATCTACCACCTTTCTCCAGCAGAGAGCGCCCTGGGTCTCCTGAGTTGAAGCCTCCTGCACACCTGAGGCTGATTCACCTGATTAGGAGACCTACTACTTAAGCAGCGGCCAGACCTGTCTTCAGCGGCGGAGTGTTGACCAGTTTTGGTTAGCAGAAACCTGAGCCTCAGCCTGCACATAGAATCTCTGTCTACTGTGGAGAGTAACCCAGATTCTAACCAGCCTCTGTCTTCTCTGCTCCTAGGAAAACCCGACTGAGTCTGTAGCTCTGGAGGAGCTCATGCTTGGAAACCTGCCTGCCTGCCCAGAGAAGCCAAACCTGAAGATCCTCAGTCTGAATCTCCCAGCTAGTTCTCAGGGGAGAACTAGGAGAACAACTCAAGGTCTGAATCTCGCTAGGCTGAAGCTAAGCTCTGCCACTGCTGAGCTCTCTGCTGAATCCACAGTCTCTGGACCCAACCGGTTCCCTCTCTCCATTGATCAGTCTGAACCTCATCAGGTACAAATCAGAATCAAGACTCTGTCAAGACTTCACTGCTATCTGGCTAACCAAACAATCCCTCTCTGCAGATTACTCTGTGATACCAGTCCCGGACCAGTACCAGAACCTGTCTGATCATTTACTCTGTGTGTGCTTCCAAATAAACTGTTTAACTTTTACTCAATCTCCTGTGGTGTTCTGCATGTGGGTTTAATCACAGAGACCCATCATGACACTTACCTAAACCTTTTTGCAGCTTCGTCTGACTCTTTCTTTTCATGTTTGCTGGCAGCTGGGTCCACAAGACAGACTGTCTGTTTTATAGCATTGATGTACTAATAAGAACATGAAAGTTAATACATGACATTTTTGCTAAAACAGATGTCTTTGTAGGATAATATTTATGCATAGCTTACAAGAAACTTCCAATGGTTCCCATTGACGTTCACAAAGGACAAAATTCCTTTGTAATTCTCAAATTTTACCTGTAAAATAAAAAATAAATAATTAGACATATTTTTTTAATTTTATAATACAACTTAAAAAACATTACATTGCACACATTAATATTTATTAAATAAATCAGTATTTATGAAACAGTATTTTATATAATACATCTAATTTTTTTTTATATTAAAAGTATTTATCTTACATTTCATTAAAAAAAAAGATTTGTAAACATAAAAACATGGACAGCTCATACAAACATATGAAATGCACATTGCATACTTATGCAGCTCATATAAAACCTATTCCACTAAATATTACCTTTAGATAATATACTGAATCAGTAGTAGAGAATAGAAATGTGTATTTAAACATACATAATTGAAGATTTTTAATATTACCGTACATACAAGATTTTTTTAATGAAGCTTATAGTTTCAATAGAACCTAGAAGCAGCATTCAATGCTTAAGACTGTGTCTCTGTAGGTGTTGTATTCAACTCTCTTCGAGTTACATTGAAGATGTTCTCAAATGATATATCAAATATCTCAAATATCAGTCAGCCTCTGATGAACAAGCTAAAGCAGATGCTGTGTAGTCACAACAGCTTCACAAGTCCAGGCCTTTATTGAATTAACATAATACAATTTCAGATAGTCTGTGTAACCTGTTACAAATAATTGTGGCGGACATGTCAAAACTTACTGACAAGTGACTGATATCATATGAACTACACAATTACAAAATTCAATTACAAATACCTTTGGCAATGTTTGTCTGGAAACTTGTGAATGGTTTCCAAAAAGTATCACTCCAGCAGTGTAGTGGTTCAGGATGTAAATGCTTCTCTAGATCTCACTCTGACTGGCAATGATATGAAAAAGCCCTTCAATTACCTAAAACCAAAAAATTGTAAATGTTATATCATTGGATTTTAAGTAATTTGATAAATACAATCTTTTTCAAACTGCAAGTCGATGGCTATGTGAGACTCTGTTGTCCATAATTTCAGAGTCCTGTCCGCACTAACAAAACTATTGTCACAGTGTCCTCCTTGTCGTCAGTGATGTCTCTTTTTGGTTCTGTGTTGAATCTGCATATGTTTACCAAAATTTCACATCTCACAGGTCTATCTTAATGAGTTTACATATTTTGCTAGTGTGTTATGCTGTCTTTGCTGTGTGATTGTATGCCACACAGTTTTGGAACTATACTTCTCATATCTGTATATATTGAAAATCAATCGGTCTCCGTCAGTCACGTGACTTTTGTTGCTAAGATGCCATTTTAGGTGGAAAAGGCGTAGTGTAAACAACCGCAGCATAGCTAAACGAAGGACTAAAGGCCTGTTTACATAGCAGCCTGTCCAAGATAAGTCATTACAGTTAACATAAGCCTGAAACCAGGGGCGGATTTAGGAAAATCGGTCTCCGCCAGTCACGTGACATTTGTTGCTAAGACGCCATTTTAGGTGGAAAAGGCGTAGTGTACCGCGCCCGAGGTAAACAATTGACGTCACTTGGCGGAGACCGATTTAAGTGTTGGGAGCTGGAGAAGTTCCACCTTTCTCCAGCAGAGTCCGCCATGGATCCTCCTGAGCTGAGCCTTCGACACACCTGAGGCGCATCTCTATGAGGATCCACAGTATATAACCTGCCTTCAGACCTTGCCTCGACGCCGCAGTGTTAAATCCAGTTTGGTTAGCACCTGAGCCTAGCATCTTCTGAGAACCTTTTTGTTGCTCTTGAATCCAGATAGGATTCTAATCCTTTTTGTCTCTGCTTTCAGGAATCCTGTTTTTCCCTTGTGAGCTCTGGATGAGCTTAACCTGCCGAGCCTGCCCTCTGAGCCAAACCTGAAGACTCTTCTCTGGATTCCCATGCAGCTCTGGACTAAGAGCTGGAAACCCAAAGCCAAGGTCTGCCCTCATGCTAGAAGTAAGACGCTGAAGCGGTTATTGGAGTCTGCTGAACTAAACAGTCTCTGGACCCAACAGTTCCTCTCTCAAAGCCAAACCCGGACTTCTCAAGGTATAAACCTGAAACTCTCAAACTCATCTGCTTCCAAGCTAACTGAGCTGTCATCCACACAGACTCCAGTGAACCAGCCCCCAGGCCTGAACCAGTTCCTGTGTTTATTCCATGTGCTTGTGAACAATAAACTTGTTAAACTTTTCATCCGTTTCCGTGGTGTTCTGCATATTGGGCTTTTCTGAAACCCATCATGACAATAAGATTTTAAAATATATCTACTAATTTACCCTGACATACCTTTTAAAAAAACCCAAAAAATTACTTCTACATTACAATGCATTTATATTAAAGAGTTGATGTTTAATTATGGTTGATTCTATCAATTGTCAATCTAAGAAATTTGTATGGTTGTGGAAAGGGGCATATGCTTAAGTTTGGACCATGGGACATAAATATTTTTGAAGCATTAGTGTCCATTTAAAATAATACATTGCTCCTAGCTCTATTGTGATAATACTCAATACAAAAAAAGTACTAACTATAATAATTTATGTATTTCGTTTGTATTTAAAATGTACAATTTTTATGAGATGTTTAACTATATATAACAATATAATTGTCTACTTCCATTACCTCGCCAGTCAGCCACTGGTGTGGCCTTAATGTCCTCAGCTCAGTGTGGTGGATAACGATGCAGTTTCCTTTGCTTTGTGTTGGAAGCACAGAAACAACTAGCTCTGTATCTTTCTTCTTCCACAAAGAGTCCAGCTGTTTCATGAAATTTTAGGTAGGCACATGTTAACAACAGATACTACAAAATAGCAATGCATCCATCAAACAACACTGACTTTAAAAAAAAAAAATATGGCTTTCATCTTTTACAGCACTTCTTACTGTGGGACATGGCCGTTAGTTTAGGCATCATTAACACCAGTTCCACATTGTTGTTTATGCCCACTATGTCTTTTGTAATTGGCACCTTTTAAAATACCTTAAAAAAGGAAAAGATTTCCCATATGCCTACCTGCATTGAACTTTGGCTTCCTACTGTCTGATTATTGTGTTCATGTCCTTTGTCGCCAATAACCAACATGTTTTCAGCTGACAGTACTGTCATGCTTCCTTTCTGCCATAACAGAGAAAATGTATGTTTATTTAAGCATTAAGCACAAACACAATTTTCATTGACTAGATTGTGTAACAACTCTGTGATTGCACTTCGTAGTAATAGAACAAAACATTTCAGTATTATAACTTTAAATCAATAAATATCCTTAATGTAATTTGAACACACAAACTACATCATATATAAATGCAACACAATTTTATTTTTAATGTGGTCTTATGTGGATCAAGTACTTATATTGTTGTCCATACTCAAAACTAACAAATCATTCCATTACAAATGCACATATGCAAAATGTTTACCTTTGAGGTAAAGTCCTTGAGGAGTTACATATCATAAGTTTCTTGTTTTAAGTAATCATACCTTTTTTGTTACTTTTTGATAGGGGAATGACTTCCGTATAGCTGATACATATCTTCCCTTCTTCCTCAACTTTCGATCCTTCCACTTCTCTTTTCTCACTCGAAATAACTGCAGATACAGGTTCAAATACACTTTTGTTTTTAAATGTATAAATCTGTCATTAAAATAAATTTTCAAAATAATGCCTTTGTAATTTAAAATCATTTAACAGTCATAAACATATCTAAGAAATACATAACAATACTTATATTTTTCTTAACATAAAAAACATATTCACAGATTCCTCCTGTGGAATTTGTAACTTCAAATGTGCAATAAAATGAAGTCATTTGTCAGGGGAGCATACACAGTACTTTGATAAGTGCAATAACTAATTTATCCATCTTAGACTGACGTAAACATTTCATGTGAGCATTGCATGACAATTTATTATGCATGCATTACTTATGGTCTAAAACATTTATCCGTTAACATTTTTTTTCTCATATATCATATTTTATATAACATGTCCTCCAAAAAAACCTACAGTACTTTTGTTATGAAAATGTTATGAGAAACTAATAATACTATAAGGAAAGAGATCTTTAATATTTCAAACACATATGTATTTGTTATTGATCTAGTAATAACTGTCAATATTTGGATAAAGAGCATGAAAAAAACTATTTTGATGTAGTCAATACTGTCATTTTCATTAAATGTTATCACAACATTTGTTATA